GATTATAATGTCATATGCAAATTGAAGATGGGTTACTGAAACTCTATCTCTACCTATTCTCCACCCTTTTCAGGATCCGACTCTATCCGCTTATGAGAGGAGTCTACTGAAAGCATCAACAACTAAAGTGAATAGGAAAGGTGACATGGAATCACTTTGTCTCAGACATTCATTTGCACCATCTATCCCCAAACACACACTTTTTTAGCACAAGTAATAAGAATCCCCAATCCACTAGGTCGTAGGCTTTTTCAAGATCTAGTTTACAAACATAACCTTTACAACCTGATCTCCTCATCTCCTCCACACATTCATTTGCTAATAGAATCTGGTCTATTATTTGTCTCCCCTGAACAAAAGCTCCTTGGGCTTGGCTGATAAGACAAGGAAGCACCTTTTTAATCCTCAAAGATAAGACCTTAGCCACAATCTTGTATACACTAGTCACCAGACTAATAGGTCTATAGTCCATTGGATGCTTGGCCTTTTTCTTTTTGGGAATTAAGGCTAAAAAGTAGCATTAATTCCACGACTAATTACTGAATTATCCTCAAATTCCTTGAAGACCTCAATCAAATCTTCTTTGACTATGTCCCAACAATCTTGAAAGAAAGCCATTGTATAATCGTCTGGCCTTGGTGCTTTAGATCGGTTCATGGAGAAAACAACTTTTCTAATTTCTTCCTCGAAATTCCTTTTCAGCCAATTTCTACTCTCTTATGGAAGCCTCTGCCAAGTCACACCTTCCAACTCCACTCTAGGATCTAGGGGCCTCCTTAAGATGGATTTGAAATGGTCAACAAAACAATTGGCTATCCTCTCTTGGGAATCAAGGACTATTCCATCCACTTCCAATTTGAAAACTAGGTTTTTCCTTCTCCTTCCATTGGCTAGTTCATGAAAAAATTTAGTGTTCCCGTCTCCTTTCTTGAGCCACCTACATCTAGACTTCTGTCTCCAAGAAACTTCTTCTCTCAAAATGACTTCATCTAACTCTCTTTTTAGTTTCCATCTCCGATTTCTATCTTGAGAGTTTATGACTCTTGGGATTCCTTCGCATCTAATTCCTCTATTTGGGTCATCAAAGAGGATTTCATTTCTTCTATTCTCCCAAAATGCTCCCTATTCCAGTCATTTAGATGTGCTCTTAAACTTTTTAGTTTTTTATGAAATCTCACCCCTTTCCACTTCACTCCCCTTGGGTCTTCTCTCCACCATTTTTCAACCTTCTTCACGAAATCTGGGTTATTCAGCCACCATTTCTCAACCTTCTTCACGAAATCTGGGTTATTCAGCCAACATTTCTCAACCTAAAGGGTTGGGGTCCTTGCTTAAACGTCTCTTATCCTAAGCCAATGGGGCAATGGTCAGATGTGGCTCTAGGTAGAGCTCTTGTTATCAAGTTCTCCCACTTGTTTTCCCGGATTTCATTAAAAAGGAACCTATCTAACTTGGAGCAGGTTGGTGTCTCCTGAAAGTTGGACCAAGTATAGAGAGCTTGCAGCAATGGGAGTTCCTTCAGCTCAGTTATTAATGAAGTCGTTGAACCTTTGTATTCTGGTTGTAATGACCTGTTGGGGATTATTTGATTCATTCGTAAATCGAATTACATTGAAATCTCCCCCCAAGCACCACGGACCATCCCAAAGCCCTTGAATCTCATAAAGTTCTTCCCAAAAATCACTCATTCCTCTATAATTGCTTGGTCCATACACATTAGTTAGTGCTTGAGTAAATCCATCCTCTACCATCCTGAATTTTTATGACACTGAAAAATTACCTATTAGCTCCTCCAAAATCTCCACCGTATCCTCTCTCCACCCTCAAGAAGGTGCTGAAACCCAACTTATTCCTCTAGATTTCCAAATGCTTCTTGCCCATCTTTTATCAATATCAGTTAATTTGGTCTCTTGTAGCATCACTATATCCGGCCTTTCCCTTCTAAGGAGGTCCTTAATTAGCTTTCTTTTCCTGGCACTCCCCAGTCCCCTCACATTCTAACTGATGATTTCATGGGGATAAGAGAATTGGCATCCCCCTCTGAGATCAGGCCCCTACTTGGAGGCTTTCCTTCTCTCCCCTCTTCCGCTAAATTCTAAATCTCCTTCTATATCTGAGATCAACCTTTCCACCTCTGATATTTTCTTCTCCCTTCGGTTGTTTATTGTTCCAGATCTACTTAAGACTGCTTTTATTATGATCCGCCTTTCCACTATTCCTTGATTTTCCTCTTAAGATTCCTCTGTTTGCCTATACTCCTCAAGGAGAACACAAATCTGTCCCCAAATCCTCTCTAATTCCTCCTCCTGCATCTTTCCCAGGATTGATTCATCCCCAACTTTTTTGCTACTTTGAAACCCTGTTTTTACTAAAACTTCTTGAGCCTCATATTTTCCTGCCGCTTCCTCTTTTTTCTTGTATTCCTCCAAATACATACAGACCTGATCCCAATTCTTCTCTAACTCCTCTTCCTGGGATTTTCTTTTTCTCACCTCTCCCTCTTGTTCTTTGCCCTCCCTGTCCTCGCTTAAATCCTTTCCATCCATGGCTGCCGATTCAAGTTGAGCTGCATAGGTATCTGTTCTAGGCACAAAACCCACATCAGTATCAGAAAACAAATTAACAATATTACCTGAAAGGTTGTGGGAAGGGGGCAATGACTCTTGAGAGACAACACGTGGGGGCAAGGTCACGACTAATCCTTCCAAAAGAAGTGACTGCAGGTTTCCATTGTATTCAATCAATGTTGTTTTAGTCCTTGCATCAGAATCTGCCTTTAGGTGTTGTCCCCTGATTGATGACTCTGTGATCAGTGACCGAGATGTGCCTTGTTTTTCTAGTCCTCTATCAGTGTCGTACTGCTCTAGCAAACTGGGAGCATATTTAGGAACCGGTATCCCCTGCCTCTCCTCTATAATAGCTGCTGTAAACACCATTTCCTTGGATAAAGAGAGCAGTTGATAATGCTTCTTCTGAGCTGAGTCTGTAATTTCAAAGTCATCATTTTCCAAAAATAACAGCTCGGTGTGTAAGCTCTCAACAATACTGAGTTATTTTTTTTTTAATCCACACTTCTGATACTTGAGGAGCCTTCCAAATCTGATTCTGAACTACTTTCTTCCTCTGTCGCACAGTCTTCAAAAAAGTCCGTAACAACCTGATTTACCGTCTTTGGAATGAAACAACACCCTGTTTCCACTGTCATTGGGTGCTTCTTGGACCTTGGGTTGCGCCGTTCCGGGGAGTTGACTTTTTTCTTAGAGCTTGGAGCCCATGCCCAGTTCTGAAATGCCTCTCCACTGCAGCTGAGTTTCTTTCCTGCGTGCGATGGTTGCGTCTTGCTCGAGGGGGACGATGATATACCAACTTTTTTGTCTATCATCACCCCTTTCCCTTAGGTCACGTGCCCACCTAAAGAGGCACATGATTTGTTAATGCTTGGGTCCACCTGTTTTAAAACAGTCAGCCCAGTCATAGTAAGAGGCCTGATAATTTCAGATGGGCCTAGGCCCAATTCCCCAACCTCTTTACCAGTCACGTGTCTACTTAAAGCTTCATGTGACCGGCCTCGGTTTGTGGCCCCTTGTTCTTTATTGTAACAACCAGGCAGCAATCAATATTGCACATAATCTGGTACAGCATGATAGGGCAAGATATATGTAAGCAGATCAGAATTTCACAAGGGATAAGATTCTTAGTGGTTATGTATGTCTTCCATTTGTTAAGACAGACCAACAACTGGCGGACATATTTAGGAAAGGGTTTCCCACAGTCCACTATTGAGCACACTTGGCAAGCTGGGCATGATTGACATCTATGTTCAGCTTGAGGGGGACTGTTGAAACATGGCCCTTATTTTTTTGGTTACTTATTTGGGATGATTATGATGAGCCTGTTGGGCCACATATATTAATTGTTTTTATGCCTTTCTTGTTCTGCTGTCTACTAGGGGTAGCCATGTCTTTTTATACATATTTACAAAGTAAGAAAGATTAAAATATAATGGGGTGGCACTTAAGCCCCACAATCGCTTTCTCTCTAAGCACTTCTCTTCCCTCTTACTTTTTCTCTTTTTCTCTTGGTACAGAGCAGTTGTTTTTTTTTTTTTTTTTTGGTAATTTGGTACGGAGCAGATTCTCCTCTTTTATTTGTTTATTTATTTCTTCTTACAAATATTCAAGATTTTCTGCTAGTTCAATCTACAAGTCATTGTCCCATAGAAAATTTGCAATTCTTAGTGTTTTCACTTAAGATCTTTCTAACCTCTCATAACCATTCCCTTTCATCTTATTTATCAAAAAAAAAAAAAAAACCATTCCCTTTCATCCTAACGTAGAATCTTTCCTAGCCCATCTTTATCCTCCTAGATTGATCCTTTGGCCATTTGAGTCCCAAAAAAATTGATATCGGAGCAGTTGGTCCTACATCACTAGTACATGTTATTGTTAATCACATGAATCATGCATCAGTGTTCAAACATCAGATCCTGTCTTGACACTCAGTACTGCAATATATAGAAATGGGAACATTAGGCTTCAACCTTTTCTTGATGCATACAACAATATCCTACAGTGAGTTTTTTTGCCTTTCTCTTCTTCAGCATAATAAGCTGGGAGACCACATTCTCTGTTCTTTTATTGGAAATGGTAATTTCATTAATGAAACAATTAAAGTACACTGTCAACCACCCAAGTCAAGGGTTCTGTTCTTTCCTTTGGCACAAAGAAAAAAGTTAATGTTTAGCTCCAATAACTTTAATTCAATCTATCCTAATGGAAGGAATGAGATTTAACAGATTTTGTGATACTGAGTTCCTTGGATAGATATGTATCATTGGCAAAGTTGTTTTCTTTTTGATATCTATTCCTATTTTTTAATCTTTGCTCCTGTGTATTTGCACCTGAACTTGTGGAATTATCGAGTTATAATTTATATCCATTTTCTTTCATAAGGGTTTTCAGTGTTCATCATTTACATTTTTTCCTCCTGAATGATGGCAGGGTTTTGATGTCAAGCTAATTGATGTTAACCGGACATGTAAAGTTACAAAGGTACCATTATTTTGGAATATCTCCAGGCTTTGAGATTAATTCGGTCATTATGAGCTTCCTACAGAACCACCCATTCATAGAAAAAGAATTATTGCAGGGCAAGGTCTTATCTTTAACTTGAAAATAGGGTGGGAAAAGAAACACAGAGAGTTGATTTGGACTCCAAACTAAGTTGCCACATGGAATATTCTTGAGTTGTTTAGGGAGCTTCACCAAATGGCTTAACTAGCAAATATTTTCCTTGTCTTCACTTTGTGTTTCAGGGGGGACAAGTGATCAAGTACACTGCAATGTTGGCTTGTGGGAACTATCATGGTGTAGTAGGTTTTGCAAAAGCAAAAGGCCCAGCAGTTCCTATCGCCCTTCAAAAGGTATCTACTTTAATCCATATGATTATGTAGTTATATTTTGTCAGGATTGAGTTTGTTATCAGTCAGCAATGCTTGCTGCTGAATTTAGATTTTCTTAATGTTATGATGCACCATTCGTTTTTTCTCATCTAGATGTAAAACTTTGGAGTTGTCAAAACGAAACAATTTTGTTTATCACTTTACTCTTATCAATCTATGAGTCTGGTGGGTAGGGGTGCAAGTCGGGTAACCGACTTGAAGAATTTACACAGCATCATGCCCGGGCCCTTGGGCGAGGCCCATTCAAATTTTTAGTAAATGCTCAAATTAAGCCCACCCAAGTTGCAGCTGTACTGGCAGGTAGATTGGTTTATTTAGTATTTAGTTGATTGTTCATCTATTTTGTTTTTTTTTTTTTTAATGGGAAAAGGTTAAAGCTAGAATTAAATTACTCTTATACAAAGAAAATGTACAGGTATAGACGATAAGCTATACCGTGGAAACTGAAGCAGCCTCAAAGTCAAAGTCAGAAATTTAGAATATTTATGAAATACTAACATCTTTGGGCGGAAAAGGAAATCATGTAAAGAGTAGGACTAAAATCTGATTCTTTTATTTCCTTTAAAATGGATGTGCATTGTTGTCGTTCCAACAGTTTTCCCAAAAACCATTCTCAGGTAGCCAGGTGCTGCTTTTGTTGTTGAGGTTCTGAACATCCATCCTTCCATTGAGGCAACAACGTGATTGTGAATATATACTGGACCTTTCTAACCTTGATCTTGTAGGTCCCTAAATATTATACCTTGAGTCTCTGGCCTTGCTGCATCATCATGTCTGTATTTGGCGTCTTAAAGCCACTCCAGCAGTCCAACTAAGTTAAATCCTATCCATTGGATTTTGGTACTAATATCTTATATCAAGCTTCCGAGAAAGGTCACTATGCAATGCTGGTCCCAGCTATTTGGGGTCTTGGGAGGGTTCAACTGGATACAGATCGTACCTTTGACAGTTTTTTTTTTCCTCACACAGTGGCCGCTCTCAGACTGGAACCTACATTCTCACACCAAGCAATGACTCCTTTTTTTATTAGTAATCATTTCGTTTCATTAAGATTAATTAGAAAATATTACAGTTAGAGGAGTGACGAATCCAGGGGCTGTCTAAGAAAGTAAAGTTATGCTGGACTTCCATTCCTCTGGCAATTCTGTGGGCTGTGTGGTCAGAAAGGATCAATAGGATTTTTGAGAAAAAATCTGCTACTGAAGCCGAGGTCATTAACTTGGCAATAGAGGTTTTGAGAAGTTGGATGTCTATACATACTGTTTTTAGAGATAGTATTTCTGATTATACTTTTTTGAGGATGGCCTTCTTTTGAGGTCCTTCATTTTGTACAGCTTCTCATTGTACAGAGGATCTTTTATTAATACATCATACTTTACCCTTTTTCAAAAAAAAAAAACAAAAAACAAAAAACCCAAAACAGTTGATCCCTATACACACCTTGTTTTGCCAAAGTGTTGCCATCATATTTGCTATTCTCTTTACCCATCTAACTGTTGCCCCTAATTCCTTTGCTATGTTTTTAGTTTCTTGTATAAGATATCTATGGATCCACATACCCGGACTGCTGTTGCTATCCATGAAATTAATTTCCCAATGAACTTCCATCAAAGTTAAGTTTGATTTTTTTAATGGAGGGGATTCCAATCCATTATTACTTTGTCTTTCACAGTGGAGGAGCTTGTTACTTCATACCACACCCTCATGATATCAGCTACTGTCACCATTTGAAATGTTTCCAAACTTTTTACCCAATGCGCTGTTTTTGTCTTTATACTCTCTATAATGTCTTCTTGGGTCCTGTACCTTCAATATTCTTTCATTTCGTTCTTCCCAAATTGTCCAGACAGTTGCTGCCTTGACTGCCTTCCATAACAATCTTCCCCTCTTTTTTGTTTGTCAGAAGAAGAAAGATTGGGCTGAACAGGTTTCTTCATATATCTAGTTACCGATTTTCTGATAAAAAATGCCAATTTTTCTTAAAATTCATATCCTTGATAAATGTTTCCAGAATCCCCACTATGTAAAGGACATGAGGAGCATGTGATTGCACATGCACTTTTGTTTTTCTATTGGATTACTAAATGATTTTTTGATTACAGGCGTATGAGAAATGCTTCCAGAATCTCCATTATGTAGATCGACATGAGGAGCATACAATTGCACATGCAATAATGACAAAATATAAGAAAACCAAGGTAAGTAGTTCCCACTTGTTTCTGAAAGATCTTTCTCCTTTTTATTTTCTTACGAGTTGTAGGTCTTACTATCATTCTCCATCATCAGACATTTAGCCTTTCAGGACTATCAGTCATTGTGTTGGTCAATTTTTCACTTGTTTTCCACCCTTCTTGCAATATTGGCTGTGAACTTACTTTGTTGTTTTATGTTCTTTTCTTTTCTTAGCTGTATCTGTGGCCAGCTCCAACAAGAACAGGAATGAAAGCAGGCAGAACTGTCCAAACAATTTTAAATTTAGCTGGCTTTAAAAATGTGAAGTCTAAGGTAATTGACCACCAAATTGATCCCTGTGGTGCACATACTTGGATATTGTATGATATGAGCTTCCTTCTTTGTAGGTTATTGGCTCCAGGAATCCTCATAACACAGTTAAAGCCTTGTTTAAAGCTCTTAATGCTGTAAGTATGATAGGAGCTAGTACTTAAATCATGTATGGGGTTGCTGATTTCTCTTTTTTTGACGGCTGCTTCTTTTGTTTACCCCCTCTGCAGATTGAAACTCCCAAGGATGTTCAGGAGAAGTTTGGCAGAACTGTTGTGGAGTCATATTTGCTTTAATTGATGCTCTTTGCTTGTGTTACATCAGGCTGACCCTCAGTGCTCTCTGTTTTTGTTTTCTTACGAGTACAGAGGCTGTTTCCCATCCCAGTGTTTAGTTATTGTTTAGATGACTAATGAAGCATTTGGCCATTTTTGTCTGAGGGTCTTATTTGTTTATGTATTATTTATTATCCCTCTTAAGCTTCTCTTTCAAAAGTACTAAGGTTGTTTTTTGGTTTTACAGAAAATAAGAGAACAGAGAATAGGTCTCAAAACTCAACAGTAAAAAAGGTAAAAAAAACAAAGGAAAAATCAACAATGTTTGGTGAATTAGTTTTTCCCCGTCTTGTGAGATAAAAAGAAGGAAAACCCATGCTGGTTGACATTTTGCCATTATTTCTTCGCGTCTTTCAAGGGTATTGACACTTTTGGATGTGATGGGATCTGCTCCTCACAGATGAGCGCCTCACAGGCACATCACTGTGCATTGGGAATATCTCCCGTGAATATTCATGTGCGAGTGAGGTGCCAGGTGTGAGGTGATATAGGGCTTATCTTCTTATGAGTTTTCAACTTTCAAGGCAGGCAGTGCATTGACATAGGTAGAAATGGAATGATCTAACATTGATGTCATTCCTTGTTGCTTTGTATTAGTTTGTATCAGTCAATACAAACTGTACACTTTTAATTCAAATCTGATTTTTATTTTATTTTTTGGTATCTAAATTTAAATTCAGATTAACGCTCCATTATTAATCCCCCTATATTCAATGCTATGACTCCTACGTGTCCATAGTTAAGAATATCATACTATTCTTTATTTAGGCTCTGTTTGAAGGGGTACAAATTCAAATATTTTGAGTGAAAAACCTTCTACAATGTACATATTTGTAGTTGTATTTGTATCGTACATATTTATATATTTATATTTGTACTGAAGGATCCATAGGATTAAATTTGTTATTCAAATTTTATTATGAGTTAAAATTGCAAGTTACTCAAGTACTTTTGTTGTTTCGCTTGCATTTCTATGACCATATAAAGAAGTTTCAACAAACTCAATCTCCCAATTATTCCCCCTCCCCAAAAAAAAAAAAAAATCCTGTATAAATAACATTCTTAGGTTTTGCCATTTTGACTAGTAATGTAAGGGAATGAATCCAATGCTAGCCTCATAAACACTGAAATGAACAAGGCATAAAATTGTTTTCTTTAGAAACGAGTTGGATTGACTAATGATCATGTTCACAATTTGTGGGCTAAACCCTACTATTTGAGACCCCCTCCTCTCCCCCCCAAATTGGATTCAGTCAGTGCAAAGCCTGTTTGAACACCCATTATAGTCTTGCATTAGGAATATCTCCCCTCGATACAAGGCTGTAAAGGCTGTTCGAAGGGCCTTTCACTGACTGAAGCCGATCCCCCCCAAAAGAAAAAAAAAAGGAAGCTACTAATTGAGGGCCTTACATTGGGTACTTTAGTAATTAGTTTCCCAGAGTTTAAACCTCAATATCTCCTTTTCATCCTTTTCCAACACATTCAATACTAGGTTATTCATGTATCTTTGGACCCAAAATAATGTCAAATCCAAATTTACCCACCAATACATGGGGTGAACAAGTCTTCTTCTTATATAAAAGTCTAAAGAAACCATTGCTCATTTTCATGGGTTATCAGGTTTTTCTCTTTTTTTTTTGTTAATTTAATATAGATTTATTTCATGGATTGTTTTGGTTTAATAATAAAATACAGTAGGAAAGCAATTAACATGGGCCTTTGATCATCTTTGTCAATTCAATTTGAAATTGTTTTTTTAACTTGTTTATTGATCTCATGCTAAGCACATTTTTTTTTGCTTTCTTAGCTACACAATGCCCTTTTAAATTAGCTAAACAATAGGGATATAGTTAGTTAATTAGCTAAACAGTAACGATAGTTTAAGGAAATTGCCTTTTTAAATTTAAATTCTTTATACTATTAAATGTTTGATTGCAAACCAAATTAATATATATCTGATAGATAAGAACCTTTTCAGTTTCAAATATCAATTAATCAAATTTGGTTCTAATCCTACAATAAAGTCTTTATCCATTTGCAGACCTACCCCAAATAATAGTCTTCTTCATGTTTTCATCAATACCCATGAGCATAAAAGGATGCAAAATGTGGTGTACTTATATCAAATTAAATCACCCGTGTTGTGCCCATATCAAATTAAATCACCCATGGTGGTGTACCCATTTCAAATTAAACTAATATAAAGTTCTCAAATAACCTCCTCTGTTATCTTTCCGCTAGTTAAAACATAAACAATATTAGGTAGCTTAGCTTCTTATTTGCCCATCTACTGTAATTTATTTGAAATCAACTGAAGAAGTGGGGGAAGAAGCTAATTAAGTGGGTCCATCAGTTATGCTTAGGACTCCATCACCACCCAATAATGCTAGGTAGTTGGTATCTCTTTGGCCTATCTCTTCTTATGTCTACAATGCCTTATCTTTGTTTTATTGGAAAACTTTGATTTTAGAAATTATATTAAGAATTTTCCCACATTTTTCCTTTTTTCAATAATTATCTCAAAAACCAAAAACATTTTAAGGTATATAATCAAGTAAAAATACTAATGACTTTACAAATCATTGTAAAGTTATAATTATTCTATCCCAAAACCCAATAGAGTGAGTCTTAACATAATTATGTGTACCAAATTGCATGTTTCCATTAATATTATTTATTTTGTTGTTAAGTTAATTTTGCATTTTTTTTTCAAATAATTGGTAAATTTTAAGAATTATTCAAAAAAATTGATAATTTGGTTGGCAATAATTCAAATTAAAATGTCAGAATTTTTTCTTTATAATATTTTTATTTATAATTTTGATATATTACTATTTAATATACATAAAATTAATAAATCATGAAATAAATCACATATTACAAGTTGATTTTTTATCTCTAAATTCTAGAATTAAGAGATATTATATTTGAACAAATATTTTTACCAATTTATATAAAAATTTGACCATCTTTCATAAACATTTTTTTCTTAAAAAAGTAGGAATTTTGCCGGAAGAATTTGCTAGATTGATGGTTGGCAAAGTTTAGAAAATAATACCCAAATCTGTAAGCAAGATAAAAGATGCTTTTTTAGACACAAAATGCCCCTATAAGAAAACAAATGAAAAGGTAAAGAGAGTGACCTTTTTTTATATTTACATTCTTCCCTTTCTCCCTTGTCTCTCTTATTTAATTTTTTTATGCATAAATAAATAAATAAATAAATAAATAAATAAATAAATAAATAAATAAATAAATAAATAAATAAAATAGATGTCATCAATCTTTACCAATTTGCCAAGCTTTAAGTTTTGTTTTTGCTTGCGATGCATTTTCATTTGCACTGGTGCACAAATAGAGCTTGATTTGGACCTTTTCGCTTAGACTATATTTGGTTTGATAGGAAATTAAGAGAAATAGAGAGTTATGGGGCGGTAGTGGTTGTTACTTTAATCCTTTGTACAAGTGATCGACATTCTTGATTTTTTCTCCAAATCCGTTGACAAGCATAACATCTTTGACTCAAAGTCAACAAGATTTTTTTTTAATCTATAGTGGGCCCCAACAAAGCACATAAAAATATGGATTATATTATGCCCTTTTTGTGTTGACTAGTAAGTGTGCATGTGCTTTGCACCTACCAATTCTAGATGATGATAATTATAATATTAACGTATCCAAAATTTTCTATAAATTTTATGTATTTTTTATTTTTTGTTTATATATATTATTTTGCTTTTTATATTAATCATATGCAGATTGGAAAATCCAAATCTGATTACATAAACACCTCCTCCAAATATTTGATAATTAGATCGAATTCTAAAGTTCCAAGTATCATTGATAGGCCTATTTGCTTGGCTAGACTCTTCTTTTTTGTAGTGTTTTATCTTTTTGGTGTATCTTTTTTTCTCTATTTATTTCTAAAAAAATGTAAAATTTAAATAGAGAAAATTGAATGAAGTGAAAAGTAGATTTAAGTAGAGGAAATCTTACATAATTAAATAGAAAATAAATTCAAAAATGAGTATTTTAGTTACTTTTTTTAAAAACTGGACCAAACAGGATAGTCAGATCGTTTGTCCTAGGAACCGGTCAGTTCACTGATTTTGTTTTGGCCATAAACTACTATTTTATAAAAAACCGTTGAAATGGTCAGAGAACTATTGACTTAGGCAATTTAACCATTAAAATGTTTGACCTTGTTAATGGTTCTTGGGTTGCTTTCAAACTAATTCCAAATTTTTTTATTTATTTTAAAATAAATATTAAAAAATAAAAAGTTAAATAAAGAAACCTTCATATCTCATAATCTTGTTCGGTTATTTTGAATTGCCAAAATTAGTTAGGGTTTTTAGTTTTTCCATTTTGATTTTGAGTTTTCTCATTTATGTGATTCTTTTTAGGGCCCTTCTTTTTAAGTTGTAAAAGCAAAAAAAAAAAATGAACTCCAATGAAGAAATCGAAAAATCAATGCTAGAGATGAAAGATTAAACACCGATCTTATATTAGAAATCTAAGATACAAATGAAGCAAAAGATTTGGGATTTGAAAGAGATTTAGAGAGATGTAAGAAGAGGGCAAATGACGTTGTGGTGGCAATGATGATGAACATGGAGATAACCGTTGGTGGTGGTTCCTTCTTCTTTTTTTTCTTCTTCTTCTCTTTCTTTCTTCTCACTTATAAGCTTTAACCAACCACCTCATTCTCAAAGTTTCACACTCCCCTCTCATAATAATAATAATATATATATATATATATAAGTTTTTAAAACTGGACTAGATAGGGAACCGTTTTGTGGACCAATTCCCAGGTCAAACGGTTTGACCGTCCAGTTTGAATGGATGATCCATTCTGACTTAAAAAATAATAATAAAATAAAAATAAAAATGGTCAAAACCATTGCCAGGCTAATGGTTCGATTGTCTGGGTTAGTAGGTTGCCGACCAAATCAAAGGTTTTTTTTTTTGCCAAAAAGTGGTTTTAATGTGAAATGAAACCGGTTCCCTGATCGGTTTCCAGTTTCTTCGGTCTGGTCTTGTTTTCAAAACCATGTGGTAAACTTTAACCTAATCCTAATCTAACAGTCAAAATAAAAAGTTACATTATATTTTACATCTTACCGTTTTGACCCACTCAAATTGGACAGTTGAACCGCTGA